GTGTGTGTGTGTGTGTGTAGTGGACTAAGAAAGAGAGATACTCATTTTTTATTTTAACACAGGGAGCATGATACATAGTATATGCACAAAGAACTCTATTCATCCCATTATAATGACATTACTATATGTGAAATGGGATTTTGCTAATTTAGTAAAAGAAAAGGACACTGTTTGCCGGAATGCACGGATTCATACCTCAGTGGTTTGAGTAAACATCTGGAGAAGAAAGAACCACTGAAAAGTAACAGTATTTAGTCTTTTCCAAAGCAAAAATCTTGGACTATCTAACTCATGTTTTTTTCCCCTCCTCAGCCAGACGCCATATGCACGCCTTCACCAGTCGACCCACTTTTGACTGGACAGACTGCGCTGCCTCTGTTATTAGTCTGTGTTTATCACAGGGTTTGAAAAGCTCAAGTTTATCTCCTAACAAGCTACTTTACACTCGATTGTAAGGGTAATCGTCTAACACACTCGAGTGAACATGTAGAGATGGATTTTATGAAGCTGTTTGGCACTGTTATCGCCGTTTTGTTCCACCCTGGATCCGCTTCTAAAATAAATGGTAAGAAGGAAAACTCCATTTTAAACTCTGCTGAGACAGTAATATTATGTATTTTATGTCCGAGGTAGAACTTCAATTTATTTTTTCTTTGTTTGTTTTCTAAAAAGTTTGCATGCAGAGCTGAACAAGGTTGTGCATTTGTTTTGTTTTTTCATTCCGTTTTTTTCTTAAGGGGTTTAAGTAAACGAGGTTAGTAGCAGAGCCACCCGTAAAGAAGCCTAAAGCTCCCAGTATGTGGATTATAATGATATCAGGCTGCAGTCACAGCTGCCTGCGCGTGATGTGGTGGAAAATGAACATCAACAGACTGTTTATGATTCAGATCACTGATCTGAAGTCAGGAGGTCGCAGAACAGCAGCATTTATGCGATTATAGCAGTATTCAACAGATCAAATCCAAACCTATAGACTGGCACTATGTTTCAATTCTAGATGAGGTAAAAATATAAATGGTACAAAACATATTTTTTATTGAAGAGGCTGTTCATTTTCATTACTTCATCGGGATCCCCACAAGTGGCCTGAGGTGAATCAAAGGGGTTGCCAAATGAGTAAATAATTAAAAAAAATGTTTTCCAATCTAATCTTTTTTTTTTTTTTTTCTGGAAAAGGAAAGGAGAAAATCACCTTTCTCATATTACAATCTCATGTTTTCAACTTCTAGATAATGCAGCCTGAGGGGTGTTGGGTACCACAGTTTATTGTTTGTTTGTTTGTTTGTTAAGATATTTTTTGGTCTTTTTATGCCTTTATTTGATAGGACAGACTGGTTTAATCTATTGTCTGCCTCTTTATTAGTTGGCATGTTTTAAAGATTAAAAGATTCATCAATGCATTTGGACAATGAAGATTTGTTGTGAAAAGTCATAATTAACTTCAGTCAATATTTAACCCACTCACTGTGCCACCTCAGCAAACCACTGCAGTTCACTGCATATTCAAGAATTCTTCTTTTCTCTGTCAGAGTGCACCACAGCATGCAAACTATTTTGACTGGCACAAGACCTAGAAAAAAACAAAACAAATCTTTTTTAAGCACATAAAAATATAGGTTTTACACTATAATTCCAGACCACTACCATGTGGTTTAATCTACCTACTTTGAAGGAAAATGTGGGATGACTTTGGTTCCTAATTCGTCCGTGATACTGTAGATAGTTTATAATCCTCCTGCCATATGGGTATCTCCCTGATGCTGACTCTGGTGTCCAGGCCAAAGGATCTGTCGGCGCGGCACAGAGCGGCCATGCTACAAGGTGTCCTACATCCAGGACAGCAGGCGGAGGCTGACCTTTGAGGATGCCAGGCAGGCCTGCAGGCTGGATGGAGGCGAGCTGCTCAGCATCGAAACTGAAAGTGAGCAGCGACTGATGGAGAGGTTCATACAGCAGCTGCAGGCTGGAGATGGAGACTTCTGGATCGGGCTCCGGCGCAGCCCACAGCGCTATAAGGCAGGGACCACAAGCCCAGGTTGCCCCTCGCAGTACTATTGGCTGGATGGAAGCAAGGCCAAGTTCAGGTATTTCTCTTTTTTTTAAACCATTCACTTTTTATGTATGAATGTTTCATCAGTGAATTTGTGAACAATGTATATTGTCGAATTTAAATGTGATACAAGTCTAAACTTGTGTATTCTATATACTGCAGGAACTGGCATTGGGATGAGCCATCGTGTGGTAGTGAAATGTGTGTGGTTCTGTACCACCAGCCCTCTGCACCACCTGACGAAGAAGGTCATTTCCTGTTCCAGTGGAATGATGACAACTGCAACTCCAAGAACAACTTTGTGTGCAAATACCCAGAAGGTGAGCCAGGAGATCACAGACACTGTGCTGTTGTACCTGGCTGCTCAGTGCTGGGAAATACTGACATTTGGCACTCCTGATTTTATTTGGTTCTTGAATACACAAAATCTGAATTTTTATCTTCCAAAGACCATTAACAAAATGTGGCCACTGCTGTCAACAGGTAGGTAGCACTACACAAGTAGTGCACAATTTTAATGTTTGTGGCCTGTAGTACTGTAATCCTGGCAACATAAAAAGATACATCTGACAGTGTTTAAAAGTCCAGTGTGTAGGGTGAAGTGGCATTAAGCAGTGTGGTTGCATATTGCAACTCTCTCGCTTCACCCTCCCCTTACAAGCACCAAGGAGAAACTATGGTGACCTCAAAACATGCAGAAACGTAAAAAGGCCCTTTCTAGAACCAGTTTGCTTTCTTTTCTGGGCTACCATAGAAAAATGGTGGTTCAACGTGACGGCCTGCAAAGAAGGCGACCCGTGGTGTCTGTTGATATAAAAGGGTTATTCTAAGGTCACAAAAACATCTCTTATTTTTTATTTCATTCTTATTTTCAGGTGATTATACACTGAGGAAAAAATATTTATGATTATATTCCATTTCTGCCAATTTTTTTAAATTAACCTATTGGTTTTTAACTTTACCTTTTCTATATGGGTCTCTCTCTATAGTCTTTTAAGGGACTTAAATGCTGTGAACACTTTGTGGTCATATCTATGTAATGTTTAACAATAGTAAGCATATTTTTTTAATTTGATTAATTTTACTTCCTCTTTCTAATGGTGCTTCCTGTTTTTGTTTGAAATTGTTTTTGAATGCAAGTGACTTACATATTTATTTTCTCTGTCTTTCGCAGAAAAAGTACCAGTATTTACTGAGGAAGGGAACACAGCACATGCAGGTACAACGTACACTTGACAACCCCACACATACTGTCCGTGTGTGCTTGATGTTCCTGTAGGATACAGATAACAAATGACAGTTAAAGTGTATAAACTTAGATCAAGAAAAGTCAGACTAAACTTCCACATCACTACTTTTTTATCACTTATTTACTTTTAATGCCTAATTTGTCAGCTTCTTTTTGTGTGAATAAAATGGGCAAAATGTATCAAGGTTTGTTTACTTACTACTTACTGTTTCCTTTAAGGATAGTTGTTTTACAGGAAAATAAAAATATTTTACATATTCAGTTGTATAAAAAGTGAATCAACATATGTACTTTAACCAAATTTGTAGAGATGTGTGGGATCACAGGAAATTTAAACAAGGAAATTCAAATAATTAGCCTCCAAACATGGCATTCATTATGTATTATAATACCTGTAATATTGTTAGTACCTTTAATATAAGTCAAACTCTCATGTTTTATTTATATTTATTTCTTTTTGTAGAAAAGTTAGAATCTCTCCAGTGTTTAGATAAACAATGTCGAGTCATATTTATCTGATGATGTTGATGTTTTATTTCTGATTGCTCCAGTTCCATCTTTGAGGCCGAATGTATTCTCAACTACAGAAAGTGATGAGAGGATAAAAATAAGACTACCTGAGTCATCAGGTAAGAAAAGAGAAAAACACTTTAAAACCTTTTATTCTTGATACTTAGAATGAATGCCCTTGTTTTCAGGCAAACATAAAGGGCATTATATTATATTTTATTATATGTAGTAACAGAATCATAACTATTCAAGGATGAATGTCATGTTCAAAATGTATCTTATAAGAGGTTAAGTAATGTTCTTTCATTTGCAGTATCTCTCTCAGACAACACCTTGTATGTCTCCTATATCCTTTATGCAACTATTCCTGCTCTACTGCTGCTGCTGTTTGCAGCTGCTGGGTTCTTCTGCTACAAACAGCACACTAAGAGGTAAAAGCAGAAAAGTATAAGCTGGTATACTAAAAGCCATACCATGTATCTGTCTGTTGCACTTCAAATAAAAAAAACTTGTGTGGATTCAGAGTAATAAAATGACATATTGAGAAGCATTTTAGATGCAGCTAATATTTCTGTGTATAATGGATTTATGGAATATTTATTTATTAATATGGTACATTGATGCAGTGTTTACTCAGTTTTGGCCAATGTGAGCACACAATTTCTATATAACTATATACATATATATACCTCTTGTATCTTTGGTCTTAGAGATATTTGTGGTTAAAAACCTGTAGGGAAATGTGACCTATAAATAAGTAGATTTAGATGATCCCTTTAAACCATGTTGTGATGATCCCACTGTGCTCTTTAATGTCCTTTCTTTTATAATCAGGAGGAAGACAGAAACACAAAGCTATCCCAGCAGATCAAAACCATGGATGTCAACAACAGCTTCACCTTACGCCGTGCAAGGACCTTATGCCTTTAGTGACATTACTAAACTGCCTCACACTGCTCTGGACAGCAGCAGGCCAGCAGACATCATGACAAAGTACCCTTGTGCTCCTTCCCAGGACTCCCAGTGTGATGATTATGAGAATGTGTCATGTGCAGACAGGGAGAGCGGCTTTGTGACCAATGACATCTATGAAACCTGCAAAGCTCAAAGCCGGCGCTGCCGCAGTCAGACTGGTTGGGTGGAAAATGAGATCTATGGATAACACTGTTGATGCCCATCTGTTCAAACGAATATGACCCAGCTTGACAGAGGAACACAATGTTCTCCATCCCTTTCTTCCTGTACATCCGACTGGTAACTTGTGTGGTGCAGGATGGCTGTATCGGCCTGGAGCCTGAGCATCCAGCATCCAAAGCTGCAGTCAGATTAATGCTTAAAGGAGGAAGTTGTCTACTGAAACTCCAAATTTAGGCCCTGAACTTCCCCTAACCCCACCAGTCGAGAATTTTCAAAATGTCAATCAAATTGTGAATCTGAGCATTGCATACCTTTGGATTCAGGAGTATTAGATGGGTTTTATAAAAAATTATAATATATTTCAAATATCATTAATAAATTTTTTTATTAAACAAGAGTTTATAGCCATGCTGGCAGCTCTGTGAGCTAAATGTTTACCATGTTCACCATCTTAGTTTAGTGTGTTAACATGCTAACATTTGATAATTAGGACTAAACACTAAGCTAAAGCTGATGGGAATCTCATTTGTTTTCCAGGTATGTGGTTATAAACCAAAGTATTTAATAAATTTAAGGTTTGGGGATCATCAATACTTGTTGAGACCACAAATGTCAACCTTATCCCCCTCACAGTTGGCCATAGGTGTTATGTGGGATGGTGGCGTTATGTCATTGTGATACATAATCCCGACAAATTATGTAACTTCACAGTAGCTTTCAGAGAGGCATTAATGAACTTGAATAAGCGGAAATGAGTCAGGTCAGTGCTACAATATTTGGCGTGGTGATTTGCACAGTTAACCCCGGGAATATAAGTGCAAGTTTTGAGAACCCACGCAAAGTTACTCATGTTGTAAACAATCCAAAATTAAACTGCTCAGCCAGTTTTCCCAATCCCGTCGTCATATTATGACACACAAGGACAAAAAGATCCTGTTGGCTCTCTACGGCAGTGGAGTTGTCCTATTTAGGGACTATTCTGACCCTTTCTCGAAACCTGAAGAGTGGTGTCAGCCCTGTGGAAGGCTTCCTGTTTGGACTCTGATGTCAGGGAAAAGGACAGTACATGCGGAAACACTGATGACAGAACTCTGCTGACCTCAGTAAACCTCAAAGCTGTGTGCTTTCCCGACTCTCAACCAGTTGTGTGAGAAACTCAACCCTCCCTCTGACCTAACAGTACGGAGACTTTTTAGGAGTTTGGAATATGTCACGGACTCATTCAGCTGTGTGTTTACTTGTAAAAGCATATGCCTGGCTTGTAAATTTGTAAAATAAAAATGGATATACATTACTGAGCACAAATGCCTGTGTTATGTGTACTGAGTGGGCTGTTGGGTCGGTGTCTTGGAAAGATGTAGCAAGCCCAGTAAGGAGAGGCTGAGTGTGTTCTTGGAGAATGTTAGACAGGAAATGCCAAAAGCACATCTGGAACTCTTACATTCAGGAAGTCTGTGCGTGACAGCGGAGGCCTTCAGAGTGAAGCTCTGCCTGCCCCCTTAGTAATCCACTGTTCTGTGTTAGACTGTCACTGCATGAGCTGAAGAGAACAACTGCTGGGTGCTGTGTCTCAAACATGGCGTGATGTTTTTGGGTGTATAAAAATAAAGTATCTAAATAAAGTTTGGTTACAAAGATATGTGTGGTTGAATTTCTTATTTTACAATAATGTAGGTATATTTAAATGTGTTTGTATTTGTCTACGTGTGCAGGGGAGAGACTGTGCGACATTAAATGTGTGTGAATGTGAAATGCCTGTTACCTAAGTACAAATACTACTGTATTTCAAAAGGCTTAAGCTTGCTTCAATGTCATATTTTTGCCAACAGATGGTGCTGTTATGTAGCTGACCAAAGTGTCTTTGTAGCTGATAAAATGTCTAGTTTCACATGAGGTCCTCCATGTTTCATTATATAATGTTATATATTATAAAATAGTATATAGTTGTAATTCCCTGTGCATTTTTTTTCTAGACTGTATGACTAAAAGTAGACATGCTGTGTAATGGATTTTCTTTCTTTTTTTTAAATATATAAAATCCTTGCTTATTGTTTTGTTTTAAACGTATTTTTTTCCATTCTTGCAGGGCACATTGCTATGAGGAAGTAAAAAAAAAGAGGACCGTTTCAAGGCTGATGTAGGATTAATTTAACCCTTTTCTGCCTGCACTTTTCACTCGACAAAAAGCTTATTAAACACCTGCGGGGCAAAAAGAAGAAAAAAAAAAAACTTCAAAGTTACCTATGCGTGCAATCAAGGAGGGGAAGGCAAGCAAACAGATTTCAGAATAGCAATTTTACCGGTTGACGTAAGAGGTGGGTCTGGTTGTCTTGGCAACCAATTGGCACTGAAGTGTGGAGCGGCTCCGTGGCCCCGCCCCCTGTACAAATACCCCTATGGCTTTGACGTCAATACACGTCAACGAGAGAACATGATGCCTCTTTGCAAGTCAACTCGTGTGCTCTGTAGCTGATAGAGGCACTCGAAGCTGAAATATTATAAGGCCCATTGTACTGAGGGAGCGTGGTGGTGCCGCCCCCGGGGGAGCGGCAAATGGCGCTGCTTCGTGTCTTCGCCGGCGCCTGACGGAGAGAGTGTCGCCACATTTGGGCGTCCAAGCTGCAGGGCGACACAGAAATCAACTTTGTCTATTTTTAATGGACACGGCTTCGAGCGGCGGGCGGCGGCCAGAAGGGCGGGCGGCGGCGGGGGCGGTTTGTTTTCCTTTCGTCTTTATCTGTAGCTGCCCCAAAGCGAGCCCGTGCGGAGAGCCCCCCGTGTGTCCCCCCCACCCTCCACCCTCTCCTCCCCTGCTCGTCTGGCTACCTCCTTCTCTTCCCCACAAACAGTCCCAGTTAAGAACAGCATGGTCATGGCTGACAGTGTCCAAAAACCGCTGATCCGGGGTCCGGTCCGAGTGGGCTTTTACGACATCGAGCGCACTTTAGGAAAGGGCAATTTCGCTGTCGTGAAGCTGGCCCGACACCGCATAACGAAGACCGAGGTGAGTGTGTCGATGAACTAGTTAGCCTGAAAGCTAACTTATGCTACTGTTCAGCCGAGTTACATAACTTTTTATGCACTAGTTGACACCCCAGATATTCAAAGCAGATACCGAAATGCTGTCCACATCATGCGCTAATAGAAACTTGGATCAGGTAACTGCCGGTCACTTGGCTGCTCCGGGGCGGGGGGGGGGGGGGGGGAGCAACAGCAACAGCTGGTATGTTTGAATCCTGCAGGTACAGGAGCAATGACTGACTGCACGTTCACCCCCCCACACCCACCCTCAGCCAACATCACTGCCAGTAAGAGGTCTGACCACCGGTGCTGCTGGGAAACACAAACTGTAAACATGCATGCTTTCTTTCCAAGACCAGCATCATACACCTGTACTGCTTTTTTGGTAACGACCCAGACAGAGTGCCACAGTGTACCAGCTCAGGAGTCTGTCTGGGTGTAAACATCCCAGTTGCCGTATCTGGGGCATGCAGCATGGGTCGGTGGTCGCATTATGTAACCCAAATAATGATGTGATTTCGTGGTTTCTTGTGCCAGCAGTGCCGAGAGCTTGGAGAGGCGCGGGATATGCCAGCCAGAGCTCTGTAATTGGAAAGCAATGTGTTCTGCACGCATGCATGCACGCAGCAGTCCACTGACGCTGCTCTGGGGGTCTTCACTTTAGTTTGGAGAAGCACTGAACACACTCGGGCGATGCAGCATGGTCACAGAACAGGGCTTGGGTTTGTCTGAGTTTACTAGTAGTTTTATGTCAGCAACCGTACAGAGAGGCCTTTCTTGACCAGTACCACCGAGTGCCATGACGTTTGTATTGTAATGCCAGAGACACAGGGATTTAATGTAAGGAGTGTCCAGTCTCTGTGTGTGTGTGAGGAGGCTGTGTTGTGAGAGACAGAGGGAGTGAAACAGAGGTGGGTGAGGGGGGCTTATGAAAACACACTTGCACACTATGATCTTTGATCTCTAGAGCTAGAGTTTGTCATCGAACACTGTACAGAAAAACAAAGATTTACATCATCCAGAAGAGGCCCTTGGTAGGTTTAATGAATAACTAGAAAATGGCTCTTAAGACTCTTACTCTGGTTATAGAAGCCTGTGAAGTGTCGCAGTGTTAGTCTAGCCGGGTAATCTGCTACCATGTAACACTAACTGCTGTGTGAACGCAGGTTTTTAATTCATGCATTCGGTGCATCAGGTGATTTTATTATTTTTTTTCACCGAGTGGCTGCACCTCTCCGTCAGCCGGTGTGATACTGGGGTTGAATGGAAACATGCATGTCCGTTGCTGGTTCTCAGGTCACTGGTTTGGTAGAGGTCAAGCAGCGCAGGTCGGTGCAGACAGCCACCGCAGCTGTTTGTTATAGTGGCCAAGGTCAGCTAGAGAGGCAGGCTGTCTACTTCATGTGATGCCATCTGCCTTGAGCATTTGCCAGGGCGAAAGAGATGTTAGCCTAGAGCGCGTGTGTATAAAGAAAACCAGAGTTTAATAACACATGAAACGGCAGATCTGATGCATCCGTATGCATATTCTTAGATAGGTGTAGTACCTGTGTGTGTGCATAACCTACTTTTTCTACTCATGGCCCCTGCGTGTTATACTGACCCATTCATCCCATTATGTACATATTGCAGCTTGTGGGTTCACACAGTGCTGGCCCATTCCCATGTGGTCCTGTCCGTCAGCACAGCAGGTCTTGCATTTATCCATGTCTGATCACAGCATTGTGCTGCCTCGTCCTGCTCTCCTTACTCTGTGTGTAAGCTAAATTACCCCTCCAACTCATTGTCCTTAAACGACCTTGTGCCAGCAGAGTTCGCAAGAAGTCTTGTGTTGTGACGTTAGTATTGTTGACAATGTAATCAGCTAGCTCAGATCTTTTCATGCTAAGCGCCCTGTAATCTCTCTTCACTAGACTGGTGATTTAAAATTTTATGCCTTAGAGGTCTCGACTTGCAGCTGGAGTGCCATTAAGAGATTTTGATTTCTTCATAGGATTTAACGCCAAATTGCATTGCAACATACCTGTCTGTGCCGTGGGTAAGGAGATAATAATGGAGAGTGTTACATGTTTCAAAACGCCCATTAGTGCACATCTGTAAGTGTTAACTACAAATATGCTAAAAAGGATCAAATGCAGCGGCAGCAACACGGTGTGACGTCAGCTGGTTGCGAGTCAAAATAAATGCAATCGAATATTCCTGGTAAAACACTTTTGTATTTGCAGGGCATTTCTGGCGTTTACCTGATGGTGATCACGATGGGTGATACAATGATCGACACTGTGATAAGTTTCCAGAGGAAAACGCTGTGTGTGCCTTATAAACTGCCGTGAAGATTTTGGGCGTCCGATAGACCTTCCAGCTCAAGGATCTGCCCTCCTGGATCCTGTTCTATTATCTCATCTAGGGCTGCAACTACTACTAAATTTCCTGGTAGAAATTCAGTATAATATACATAGGTGTGTTTTCATTAGTGAATAAACACCTGAAAATAAATAAAATAAATTGTTGTTTTTTCGTGACCCTAGAATAAGAGAAAGCGGGTCCTCTTCTATGGAGTCTGCTGTGTTGAACATATTGCTACAGTAGCCCAGAACAGACAAACCAAACAATGGCTCTAGATTGGGTCATTAGTGCTTTTTGCATCACTGTAGTTTGTCTACATGCTCTGAAGGCTGAGCTTTATTCAGAACGTTTCAATCTGCCTAGATACCACTAAATCCTGCACACTGGTCCTTTAAACCATCGATCATTTGTCAAAATAGTTGCATATTCATTTTCTCTTGATCAGCTAATCAATTAAACAACGAATCATTTCAGCCCACGTCTCGCTGGTTCAATTCTGATATTGCAGTCCTGTTCTCGGTCCGAGCGCTCAATATGAGTTTCATAACGGTGGTGCGATTGCTGAGAGGGGAACCGGGGTCTCATGTTGTTTACTCCTCCAGCTTGGCTCACAGACGCTTGGAACACTTCAGATCACACTGATGAAATGTTGTTTATGGGACAGTCTGAAGGAGAGATGTTAATATTGCCTTGTTACCTACCGGACATCATTTATAAAAGCCAAGTGTGTTGAAGTTCGTGTGTGTGTGTGTGTGTGTCCAACGAAGCCTGTGTTTGCCTCTATCTTCGTGTGATATTTCATCATGGCTCAAATGTTAAAACTGTTTATGAAGGTTTCGGCACAAGCTGTATTTAAGTATTTATCTTGAGTCCTTGCTTGCGCACTGAAAAGAACACACTGTCTCTTCTTTTTGGAGAATATTAAATTGCCGTCTGTACTAGTGTGTATGTGAGTGTGGGGAATTTCTTCTTATTGCCCATCAAGTGTGATGAGTCCTAACAATGATTCTGTTGTTTGTTATTGAGAAACGGAGTGATTACAGTTGTGTTGTCGATGCTCGATCACTCTGCAGGTGGCCATTAAGATCATTGACAAGACCCAACTGGATGCTGTCAACCTGGAGAAGATCTACAGGGAAGTTCAGATCATGAAGATGCTGGACCACCCCCACATCATCAAGCTCTACCAGGTGAGTCTCTAGCTCATGTTGACAAAATTGATAATCTTTGTAGTGGCTTTCCTCTTCCTGCTTTCACTGATTTTGACCACAGTGCGTCATGATTTTATCTGGGCTCTTGTATGTCTCTAATGGAAGTATATTTGAAAGTTGTTATTCCGCATGTTGCAATGCTGTGTGAAGATAATCTTTTCATCTGCTTTTTGTTTTCTTCTTTTGTAACCGGTATTTTTGCATATTTTTGCGTCTTGCGTGACGAGCTGTGTCAATCAAGATATTTTCAGGAGATTTATTTCTGTCTTGTCCTCCACCTTGACACAAGTCTGTAAAATGTCATAAAAAGCTATTCTGTCTCTTACACAGGCCTGAATTCACACACTTACTTGTGCCTCACCTGTTATTGTTTAAACTGTTTTAAGGGTTATGGCACTGTAAAGTCCTGGGGCCGGTTTCATAAAGATATTTTAGAACATGAAGTCTGAATATTAGTTAAATCTAAGCAATTTTGCCAACATGTGTTGAGGAGGCCCAGTATTAGGCGATCCTCTGGCTAATCTGTGAACGAGTCCATTTTGTGGTGCAGAATTCACCGTTGCTCCTTGTTGATCTTCTCTCCTGGTTCTTTAGCCGCCGGGGGTGTTGAAGCGCAGGACCAATCCAGGTCATTTTCTAATGCATTAGCAAACAACGGCTGCCTAGCAGAACTTGCCACCGCTGGATAGCTTAAGATATGAGAGCATAGTTAATGACTGACTGACACTCGGCGCTGTGTGCATCTGTGTGTGTGTGTGTGTGTGTGTGTGTGTGTGTGTGTGTTCTGCACCGTGTGAAGGTGCTTCTGGTATGATTCGAACTAAATAATGTCGGTAGTTGAAGGTTATATAAATTTAAATGTTTTCTTATTGAACAGGGACATTAGATCTGACCTGTACTCCGGCAGAAAAAATGGATTTTAATAATTCAATGTTATCCACTTATCAAGAATCCCTGTTTTTTTAAATGTTGGGTTAAGAAAAAATTGGGATCCCCAAATTCTGTTCTTGAAACTTATGGGGACCTTAAAAGCATTTTAAATGAATAAATTGGGGGGACCCACCAGTTTGGGGTTTCCCCAGTATTATTGGTTTAACCCAAAAAGCCGGAAAAAAAAAAAAACCATGAAATTTGGCAGTTTGCTAAGAAGGAAATTTTACCTTATTAAGTTTAAAA